TAAAAAAAAAAAAAAAAAAAGAGACAAAGCTATTCTTGGTGAATTCATTCTACTTAACAAATCAATGGTGAATTCTAAAGCAGATGAAATAGGTCACTTGAAGGGCCTTCAACCCTATTTGGCTGATAGCTGCAGCTTAGGTATGAACAGAATAGCTAGTTGAGCAATATGAAGCATAGCAGCTCTATGGATTGTTATCAATTACAGAGGCAATATTCCATGCTAAACTTGTGTGAGAAATTCAGAATATAACAAATATTTGCTGATATTATGGAAATAGGTATCAAAATATGTAGATTAAGAAGCAAACCATACTCCCATTTTTCATGTAATTTGGGTAAAATTCTTCATACTGTTCCCCACTCCCTTGTAAACCTGGAGGCACAACTGGTGGTTCCGCACGGAGACAGGGCCCGGCGTGACAGCCAGCTGCTCAGAAACAGTGGCCACACTTCCTTGTAGAACCAGATGTCAGACATCTGTCTTCTATCAAGGAGGATCAAAATAAAGCCCTGCCCACTAGATAATTTAATGTATAACATATAATTACCTAAACAAAGATCGCCCTGGTGCCTGTTCAGAAAATTTTTGTTATAGGATTTCCCTTCCCTCCTTCTCAACAGCTGTGAAGATACAGGCACTCGTAATACGGCCCTTTGTTCTTTTCCTTGTCTTTTTCTCTGATGCTGGACTGGATTATTTTTTCAACTACACCTTGAGGCTCCCCTCCTTTTCTCCCAATGCAGTCTGTACTGGCATTGGACTCACTGTGTAGCCTGGCTGGCCTTGAACTCATGGTGATCCTCCTGCCTCAGCCTCCCAAGTGCTGGGATTACAGGCATGCACCACCATGCCTGGCCTCTCCTCCTTTTCTTGATCTGAGACTCTTCTAGGACCCGAGGTGCCTCTCTGCCTCTCTTTCTCTCTCTCTTCCTCCCTCTCTCCTATCCATCTCCCACAAGAGAGCTCACCCATTCTCTGAGCTTCCAAATCAAGTCTCTGCAGACTTTTTCTTTTCTTCTTTTTTTCTTAAACTAGGAATCTGTGCAGACTTTTGAATTCATATCACAAACCTTAACTCCTTATTCCCAACCCTCTATTTTCAAAGGTCTGCCTTTATTTAACTCCATTTATGTATCTTCAAATGTAGTACATTGCAACCCAAATCCTTACAGTAAATGCAAACTCCTTAGTACCCAGTCCCCTTTTTGAGATGAGGTCTCACTATGTAGCCCAGGCTCACCCCAAACTCTTGAGCTCAAGTGATCTTCATGCCTCAGCCTTGCAAGTAGCTGAGATCACAGGCGCACATCCCCTGCCTGACAACAATCATTTTTCAGACTGATCAAATGATACACTGCAGGCTACAACTTCACCTGACACCCTGTACTACATAAATATGTGCAATGAAAATAATCATCATTAATTTAAAAAAAGTAAAAATCACTAATTCACTAAATTTCAGATTAATGAGTCCTGGACTATTAAATGTGATATAATCACAAGGCACACCGAACACCTTTTGTTCCTAGAGAATGCACCCGTAAAAATCTTAAAATTCTGATATGTATTGATCAATATAGTATAGTTTAATTTAAAAAAATTGTGGAGGACAGACTTTGTAATAACATTAAGTCAGGTTTACCTTTCATTTATTTGACACGAATTAGCGATAGGTCTTTCTCATGGAGGCTGTAGTAAAATTTCCCCAGTACAGATTCATGGTCGTTGACTTGCAAGGTGTTACACCTACGTGATAAGTAGCCTGACAATGACAGAATGTCACATAATTAATTTATATATTTTAACATACACGACCAACACTTCAGTGCTGTCAGTGGAAAAGGAAATGAAACACCATTCTTTCAAGTAAATCATAATTCACAACTTAATGAAGACTGCAGAAGTGGCACCAAAAAGTGCTGCTGCAGGATCAGTGTGTCACGCTTAGAATGCAGAGTGATCACAACCTGGGTCACCACCATCTGTGCTCCATGGAAGCTGGGAGTGGGATTGAGGGTCCCGCAAGGAAGAGAATGGGTCTGCCACCAGAAGGCTTTCAAAAGCAGGAGATAAAAAACAGCAAGTAAGGGATTCTGAGGACACAGAAAGGGCAAATAAGCCCATTTTTATTTTTAAAGTTTGGATGGGAATTTGTCTTGGCAAAACAACAGCAAAATATACTCAGATAGTTTTAATTCAGAACTTCTCAACTTAAAAAAATACTGTCCCTAAGGAGCCTCTTCAGCTTTTTATTGCCCAATTCCTCCTTTATGAAAATTTTAATGCCATATTAATTTTAATGATACTGTATACATGTTTATGTACTGTATGTATAGCTTTGCTTTATGCATGGGAAAAGTTAGTATAATACTCTTTTTTTATTTACTGCAGAGTTAAGAACAATGAAACAATATTTTAAGTTAAAATTTTAACTAAATTGAAAATAAATGAATGGTTTGAGCAGTCTTCCATTCTTTTTTTTTTTTTTTTTTTTTTTT